TTAAGCACACAGGACTTACAACCAGGGTGACCTCAATTTGAACAGCGTTCATCCATTTGTAGCTAGTGACCTTGGATAAGTTACTAAACTTTTCTGGACTTAGTTTGCTCACGTATAAATTAAGGCTTTTGATACATCCTTCACATCATCATCAGAGTCTAAGCCAAATAATACATGGAAAGGCTCAGCCCAGGTTTAGGATACATTGGAATGACGCAGCTCAGCTGATGTTATTAGAAGTGTGAATCTTGTAGTAGGCTGCTTAATGACCTGAAGATGGCATTTTCCATTTCCATTATAGATCATGGCTGAGAACATGCATTTTACATCAGTGAATTTTTATTCATGAGTCCATACATTTACTCAACAGAGTAAATTACCTGTTATGTGTTGGATATCTTGCTAGGCTGTGGGTGATACATTGTTCCACAAGACGAGCATGGGCCCAAAGAGACATGCTCTCTGCCCTCATGAAGCTTACAGGAGAAGATGGGTCATGAGTATTGGGTCGACAGGGCGGGTATGGAGGGTTCTGGGAGAGCTCTCGTATGGTGGAGGGAATAAAGGAATTCAGGCCAAACCTTGAAGTCATGAGTTTGCTGGTGAAAGGGGAGAGGGTATTCTATGTGGATGGAATAGTGTGTAGGTAAAAGTTTGTTTTATTTGAGGCACAGGAAGGAGGCCAGGCTGTCTGGAATGCAGTATGGAAGGCAAATTGGAGGCTGGACAGGAGTAAACAGAGGGAGACTAGCTCAAATTGTTTACAGAGGCTCAGATGAGAAATGATAATGGCCTGGAGGAGCAGCAGTAGCAGTAGCAGTGGGAAAAGTGGATAGTTTCCTAAGATATTTAGGAGATAGAATTAATGAGATTTGGAAAGTCACTGATGTATGGGCTGAGAGAAAGAGTCACTTGAGCAAGGCTTGAGCAAGTGGGTGGGTGAGAAAGGAAAAACCTTAGAGGGGAGCGAGAGAGCTCAAGGAGTGTGGGAAGCTACCGAGAAGTCATGGAAAGTAAGGTCTGAAAACTGTCCATTGGATTTAGTGACCTGGAAGTCACTGGCGATTCTGGAGAGCAGTTTCCGCAGGGTAGGAGCCAGATTTCAGTGTCTTGAACAGGGAGTGGAAGGTGAGAAATAGAGAGACAACTTTCCTAAGAGGTTTGGGTAAAAAGAGGAAGAGAGAAAGAAGGTGTAACTGGATTAGGACACAGTCAAGGCAGATGTTTGGGTGCTTTTTTTTTTTTAACTTCTTTTCATTGTTAAATGAAAATGAAAATGTTGGACATGTTAAAATGCTCACAGGTTCGCACCAATAGAGAAGGAAAGGCTGCGAATATTGGAAAGATGCAATAATGTATAGCTAGGTCTTCAGGAAGCAGGTTGCAGAGCACAGTGGGAAAATTGGAGAACATCAACTCTATTATAATTGAAAGAAAGGAATTGTTGGATTGGGATGAGGTTCTTCTCTGACGTTGCCTGTTTTTTTCTGTGAAGTGATAGTAAGATCATCTGCCAATAATAATGAGGCACACAGGAGAGTCAGAAGTTTGAGGATAAGGGAGCCTGGAGGACCAGTTGATAAATCAGACGGCAGCAGGATTATTGAGCAGCACTGAAGTCCTCATAACAGTGAGCATCATAACCATGAATATATAGTGATGCCAGTTTCCTGGACTGTGTGATTTGCTCCAGCAGTGCCTCACAGACCAAGCCAGTCCTGAGGATGGCTGAGCCAGGGTCGGAGTATTGCCAAGTGGATGTGATGAAAGACAGTACGGAAAGGGAGGTAGGATATTGACAGGAGACTTAGTGTCCAATTTCAATGTCTGTCATCCCTGTTTATAAAAAAAAACAACCAAAAAACAAAAAAACACAACTATGGACATAGTCTAGTTAATACTGATTAGATTTCTTTTAATCCCTGGAAGAAAAGTGGTTATGTTTTAAGAACACAACAAGGAAATGATGTAAGACCAAGCTTCTCAAAGTGAGCTCCCTGCAACAACAACATTAGCATCAGGAAATTAGAAAGACAGATTCTCAGGTTCTGCTTCAGAACTACTGAATCAGACACTCTGGGCTTGGAGCCCAGCAATATGTGCTTTAAATGAAGGAATGAGTGAGTATATAAAATAGAAGATAAATGAAGAGGAGCTGGGAAAAACCTCCTATCATCTGTAAATGACTTGCTCACTCACTAAATCTACCTCTACACTTAAAAAACAAAACAAAGCATACCTAATGCAAAAGCTAGGTAGGCAGTTACTTCCTGCTCTCATTAATGACTTTTGCAAATAAAAGCTTTTGTTATATCTAAAAGTTTACATAAACAATACTTTAAAAAAAACCTCATCTGTTTTAGAAAGTGAGATAGAACTGGCATAGCAAAATACATTTTTTATCTTTCAAGGATAGTAATAATTAATTGAAAAAATCCCCAGTATGTAAGACAAGAACTTTAAAAGTAAACCTGTATTGTCTGTTTCTAATTATCACAGTCATATACAGTAATTTTAAAATTTATCAAATACAGAAAATATAAAGAAAAAACAAAAATCACTGATAAGGCCATAATCTGGAGTTATCATTATATTTTAGTTTATTTCCTTTAGGCTTTTATTATGCATATATATATATATATATATATATATAATTTTTAAACATAATTAGGACATAACTACATTGTCACCTTCACATCTAAATAACTTTTTTTTTTTAAATAACTTTTTATGAGATTTTGTTTTTCTTTAGCTCTCCTAAGGACTGCATGGTGGTGAAGAACAGCTTTCTGTAGGCGATGGTTCCTAAACACAGGAACACTTTGTGTGCACATGGCTGGCACTTAGTAATGTTTGTAGACTGAAGGTAATGGAACATTCCACTGCCTGCTCTTTTAGGGATTTCACAGACTGCACTTAACCCATATCTCTGAAATAGTTTGAGTGAATCAAAAGCAGTGGTCTTCAGACTTCATTGTGCCTAAGAATCGCCTGGGCATTCTGTTAAAGTGCAGATTCCTGGGCTTTACTTCCAGAAATTCTGATTTAGCAGATCTGGATGTGGCCCAGGAATATCTTTAAATAAATACTAAGAGTTTCTGATGCGGGTCTCCTATGGACAATACTTCAAGAGCCACCAATTTAGAGTATGCATGCAGCTTGCCATGTGTGCATACAGTAGGTAACCCTTTCTTTTTCCCCAATAAATCCTTTTTGGTGAAAAAAAAAAAGAAAAAGAAAAGAACCACTGACTTAAAGGGAAAAAGAGATTTTGTAATTTTCAGTTTACTAGGTTTTGTTACCACATCCACTTGTAAGATGGTAGGGCTAAGATGGTTAAAATGAAATAATGATTATTGTTTTTTAAAATAATGATTATTATAAATTGGCACCATTGGAACACTTTTAATCAAAGTTAAGCAGTCTATAATTTTTTACTTTTAAAAGTAATTTTCTTTTTATTTTTAAATATATTTTTTAGTGGTGAAAGTAAGATTTAAGATAATTAAATTGCCCTGGATCCTGTAAGCAAATTTCAGACGTTCTACCTGCTTAGATCATTGAGCCCTATGGGATTACAAGAGACACACACAGTAAATCCTGAAAGAAATGAAAGAAAACAGTAAGAATCTTAGGAATGAAAAGAAGCAGGAGAACAGGAATATGGAAAATATATTTTTTTATGGGCAAGTCACAGACAAGATATGGTGACTTACACACAGAAATATAGTCTTGCTAAATTCTTTTTTTTTTTTTTTTAAAGATTTTTATTGGGTAATTGGGGGGATGGGAACAGTACTGGGGAATTAGGGGAAGGGGAACAGACAAGTTGCTGTCGTTTTGTTCTTCAATCTAGTTGTGGAGGACACTGCTTCACTGGCCCAAGTTGGCACCATCACTGCGCTCTTCCCGGGCGAGGCAGATCCGCCGGCTTCTGGACGGCCGCTCACTGCGGCTGCTGGCCGCTCACGCTGGCTGCTGGCTACATACGGTAGCCCATGGCAACCCACTGCTACAGGGACTGCAGCCTACGCCGTCGCCAGCGACTCACGGCAGCCCAGCTCCAGGTTGAGCTGTTGTTCAGCATCTTAGCTGTAGAGGGCAGTGTCACTGGCCCTCATATGTGGGATCCGAACCGGGGCCCTCTGGCATCCCAAGCGAGTTCTTAACCATCGCGCCACTCGGCCGGCCCAGTCTTGCTAAATTCTTGACAACCACTTGCCTGAGCCACATTTTCATATAGAAAGCACAGACTTACATATCAGTAAGCTTGCCCTTCGATATAAATAGAATCACCTAAGTTCACTGAAGGAGAATTAGGGACATTCTGAACCACCAAGGGGGACCCTCTGAACCATTTCTAATATAGTCAGGCATTTGTGGTATTAAGTGGGTAATAAAATATGCAAATAGGCCTATTAAATGCATTTTTTATTACTCTGCATTCATTATCATTGCCTATAAGCTGACTCTAAATATGTTTTAGGGGCTCGGACCCCTTTTGTCTCCATCCTTCTGGCTTCCTGCATTAGCCCTTTAATCTCAGTCAGGAAGGATGACCAGTGATATTGGTGTGTCTCCCCATTTTCCTCTCTTGTCTTGTTTTGTTAGCATGGTAGATCCTAAACAGGTACCTGAAAAAATATGTTGCTTTAAACTCGGTAATGCAGTGACCACTAAGTCATCTTTATTTTCTTAAGGAGAAAAGAATACTTACTTAAGGGGCAGTGGGTGTGGAGCAACAAAATGAAACAAAGTGTTGACAGATTTCAGTTCACATAGGAATCTTGCTGGTTTCTCTGCAAAGAAGCGTTCCACTAGGGGTTGAATTATCAAGGAAACAGAGATAACTTTTTGCAGAACTCTCTTCTTCCACATAAAACAAAATTGTCAACTTATTTCTACATAGTTTTTTATGCTGACCTGACTGTGTCCTATTGCATTTGGTTTTAGTGAATTAAATTATTTTTTTACTTTCCTTCCTACTTGGCAACCTTAAGGAAATTGGTAAAAACAAACAAGTAAGTACCAGAATGTTCACTGTAAACTTGTTAATGACAGCAAACAATCTAGACACAGGACCATCCATAAATAGAGAACTGAATAAATTATGTCACATCCTTGAAATAGAATATTAGCCATTGAACACAATAAACTAGATAAGCATGTGTTGATATGAGAAGTCCTCCAAGCTCTACTATTACGGGGAAAACACAAGATGCAGAACAAGTATAGTAAGATCCCATTTATACTTAAAAAAACCTCTCTCTTCATACACACACACACACACACACACACACACACACACACACACACACACACACACACACTTTCTCTCATTTGTATAGACATAGAAATTTCTTGGGTTCCTGGGTACTTGAGAAAGTGATAATAGTTGTTACCATTGAGTAGTGGAACTGGAATGGGGAAGCTTACTTTTCATTTCATGCCCTTGGTTCTATATGAAATGTTTTCTCATTTTTCACATATTGTTTTTAAAATAATAATTTTACTTAAAATTTAAAATTAAATGATACTCTTTGCTCTTTTTGATGTTTAGCTCTTGATAGGTTTTTTCGTCTTTCTGCTTCCTTTGGCTCCACCTTCTCTCCGAGCACTTCTCATGCCCATACACGTTTATTCTGGACTTTTCATCTTTGGAACAGTGATTGCAACAGTCCTTATGGGAGTGACTGAGAAACTGTTATTTGTCCTGTAAGTTACATAGTTTTCCTAATTGTAATACTTAAGCTATAAAATGTTAAAGACTTGTTCATTAAAAAATGGTAACAAAAATGTAACAAAATTTTTTAAATGTTAAAAATTTTAAGTATTCTTAAAAATATATTATACATGAAATATAACATTATTAAGTGCTTGAAGGACTAAAAAGTCTAACAAATTGTATTACTCTTCAAACAACTATTGAAGTTATGCATGCCCTTACATTTTAATGTACATATTTTTATTAATTGTAATTATAATATATATACATTTTTGTATCATCCTTTCTCAATTTTTGGTGTTCAGATGCTATATTATTTTCATGCTAATGCTTTTAAACAATCCCATACTATTCCCTTGTGTGAATTATAGCATAAATTTCCTCTTAATATCAAGCTTTACAGGAATTTACATTGAAACTGTACCAATGTGCATTTTGAGCAGATAAATTAGAGACTGTTAGGGCCGGCCCAGTGGCTCAGTTGGTTGGGAGTTGGCTTGGAAGTGCAAACTCTGAGTGGCAGGGTCACCAGTTTGGTTCCCACATGGGCCAGTGGCCGCTGAGCTGCCACTGAGCTGTTGGCAGGATGGCTCAGCAAAAAAAAAAAAAAAAAAAAATCGAGACTGTTTGGCATATTTGCTGCATCACCCTATTTGTAACTGAACACTCTCTTTTTTTTTGTAGGAAAAAGCCTGCCTACAGTACATTTCCACCAGAAGGTATTTTCACAAATACCCTCGGTCTTCTAATTCTGTTGTTTGGAGCCCTCATTTTTTGGATAGTCACCAGACCACAATGGAAACGTCCTAAAGAACCAAATTCTACCCTTCTTCAGCCAAACAGAGGCACTCCAGAGGGCGTGGAAGGCTCCATGGCAACCAACTTTGGCAACATGGACAAATCAGATTCTGAGTTAAACAATGAAGCAGCAGCAAGGAAAAGAAACATCACCCTTGATGAGGCTGGTCAGAGATCCACCGTGTAAAATGCTGTAGAGGTGTAGCCGTGTAACTTTGCTTTTAAAAACTAACTCAATGGTTTAGCTTCTCCTATTTAGCCATACGATAATTGAGCGCCACAGAGTCAATAATCATAAAGTAGGGTTTCTTGAAAGTGTTTGTACTAATTGAGGCCTATGAACTGACCTGAATGAGGAAGGAGATAGTCAATGTATTGACAGCAGCTATAAATTGTGGTCATGTTACCTCTTGTTAAGGACTATTTTGCATAGCTCTTTGCATAGAACAGATGCTCAAAATGTGTCTGTTGGTTGGTAAATTTGATAACCTGGTAGCCCTGGAAGTTTTTCCAAACTCAACTTAGTCCCAAGGCTTCCCTGGGGTTTGGTGTACTTTATGATCCAGATTCCAAACCTAATTAGAAGGAAAACATTCCTGAATTTTTAAGTGGCATAAACTACTCTGTAAACCTCAAAGTGCTTTTTTTCTCAAGTTTCTGTTTTTATTTTTTTAAAAGCACTTGCGTGGCACTTACTATGTGCCAGCCACTATACTAAGCACTTTATAATTATTAGCTCATTAAATCCCCAGACAAACCTTATGAGGTAGGTACTATTATTATCTCTGTTTTACAAATGACAGATCTGAAGCTTGGAGAGGTTAGTAACTTGCTCCAAGTGTATAAGTGGTGGAACTGAGATTTAAAACCTGGCATCTGGCTCCTCAGTCCATGATGATAACCACTTCACTATGCAATTTTTTTTTCTGTTTTATACTAATTTGCACCTACTTTGACCCACCCCTGAATAAATTTCAATTCCTGGAGTACAGTGGAGTTGTTAAAGTTTACATTATGGCTCCTCTCTTTTCCAAGGCAGATTCCTCAAATAACCAAAGAAAAGGGCCTACCCCAGCCTGGAAATAGATGATGGGCACCCTTCCACTGCCAACAAGCCGTGGCCTACCTTGGTGCCTCTTTGACCTTGAAATTGTGTCTTGGTGACAAAGAAAGGTTTGGGCAAGAACATCTGTAGCTTTCAAGATTAATCAATTATGATTCTTATTCTTCAGGACCTTGGCTGCTGAACAGTTTTGGGTTTGAGGAAAGGGGAGACTTATCTCATGGTTTGTCTTACCAGGGGGGGAACAGCTAGGGTTATATCAGATTTGAGTGGAATTTTAGGGGATATCTTGAGCTTTGGATTGTCGATAGTGAAATGAGACTCAGAGGTGACTTTATGCTTGGAAACCTCTGTTAGCGCTGACTTAAATTAAAACCTAGAGTAGTGCCTATGCTGAAATGATGCTTTTAATCTTGGGGTTGATTTTTGGTTTCCCTGCAATTTTAAAGTGGAGCATTTTAATGTGGATAAAAATCTTATGGTTTACAACAAATACACTTGACATTTGTGGTGCTTAGTGGATTTCCTTTTAGGATAACTGGTAATTACTTCCATAGATTGAATATGAAACAACTTCATCACATTCCTTAAGCTTCATGGACAATCATTCAATATTCCATTGCCAAAATACTGTTTTCTTCTTATTTAATTCTATTTCCAAAATTGTTATAGTGTCAGAAGGACCACCAGTGCCAGGCTGACACCTATTAGGCACAATCAAATTCAAGATGGGTAGAGCATGCTACAGTTTTGATGCTTGGTAGAAGGAGTAATTGCATTGTCCCACACAAACATACTTTGATAAATAGATGTTTCATTACATGGAGGTGCACAAAATTCCAAGGGTTTTTTGGGGGGCAGGGGTCAGTCACAGCCCCAAGAATTGAAGCTGCCATTCCATTTTATATAGGCCAAGAAAGAGGTTATTAGTGAAAAGTTAATTATGGATTTGGTGTTAGAATATTCTGCTCCATTGCAAAGTAATTGAGCACCCCTCATCTTTGTCCTTTATTTTACCTTTTCTTGTGGGCTAATGTGAGGGTAATCTTACAGTTATTATAGGAACTTCTCTTCTTTATCACTCAGCCTTTATGAAAACAATGCATAGTAAAATATATCCAGAAAAACCTTTCTGTTTGAGACTCTTCTTTTAATGGGCTTTTAATTCTAATGATAATTGTACCTTTGTCTTTCAAAAGCTGATATTTCCTACCTAAAGCATCTCTCCCAAAAATATCTCATTAAAAAGCCCACAAAAAGAATAGGAGAGAAGAAAGCCTTAGGTATACATTCCAAAACAGTGATTGAAATCTCCACAAATAATTATAGCTTCTATCACCTGCAGAGATAGTCTGGCTTAGCTTACCCCGTAATCTAATTTCAGAAAGAAATTTTGAAAAGCTTTATTTTAAAATTAACACTCATCTAAATCAACACTAAAGCCTTTCTCTCCAAGAGTTTATTGAGAAACTAAAATTAACATACTCTGATTTAATGTTATCAAAAGTGTGCGGCTTCCTGTACTCCTTGTGTCTAATGGAACTCACCCTCCAAAGTACTTTCTTTTCTTCCCTTGTGTGGCTTATTTCAGCCGTGATGGTCAGAAACAGCATCTCACACCTTACAATCATGTGACAAAGAAGGCAATTGCACTTTTTAAGGGATACTTAAAAAGTATCCCTTAAAGGACAAAATACCGAGGATGTCTCATTTTCTTTTCTTTTTTTTAAAGATTTTATTGGGGAATTGGAGGAGGGGAACAGCACTGGGGAATTGGGGGAAGAGGAACAGACAAGTTGCTGTCCGTTCTTCAGTCTAGTTGTGGAGGACTTCGCTTCACTGGCTCATGTTGGTATTATCGTTGTGCTCTCCCTGGGTGAGGCAGTTGCTCGCCGGCCATTGGATGGCCGCTCATGGCAGCTCACGCTGGCTACCAGCCACTCACGGTAGCTCATGGCAGCCCACTGCAACAGGGGCTGCAGCCTACACCGTCACCGGCGACTCACAGCAGCCCAGCTCCAGGTGGAGGTGTTGTTCACCATCTTAGCTATAGAGGGCGCAGCATCACTGGCCCTCATGTGGGATCCAAACTGGGGCCCTGCTGCTCAGAGCTGGTGTCCCAAGCCAACTCTTAACCAACACACCACTCAGCCAGCCTAGAGGATGTCTCATTTTCAATGGGGCTCTTTTCCCTGCCGAGTTGGAAATCCCCGTGCCATGGAATTGACCACAGCTGCCAAATCTAAAAACTCAAAGAAGTAGAGATTTATGTTAATTTGACTGCAATGTGATAGAATTTTTATCTTGGCCTGCCCTTTTTTAGATTATTTCAACAGAAAACTGTAACTGCTATGTCTTAGAGCTACATATTGGAAAGTATAGAAGAAAGAAAACTGGTATTCTTCATCCCTTACAAGGCACCTGAAAACTTTTGAGTGGAAAAGGTTTCTATGTTTCAATGTGTCTTTTTTTCTCAGCACATTTATGGAAAAATATTAAATTGCCTGAACATTTTATAATTGTGTAGAAAAAGTATGCATTTATTTTTTTCTTGACTTTGTTTTTATATAGTAATAAAAGTTATTTTGGAAGCTTTTTATGTGTGTTATCAATTTGTTTAGGTTAGAGGGTGTAGGCATTGTTCTGAAAGTTTCTTTCCTGTAGAAATTTGAAGTTTCTGTATTGAAAATGGTGTCAGATTTCCCTCTGAAGGGTACTCTGAGTCCCATACCTTTTACATTGCTAGAAGGATTAGAGGCCTGTTTCAAAACTGTCATGTTGTTCACCTCCATACAGGATCTGAAATAGAACCATAATCTAGTGTACAAGGCAGCCAGCTGCAGGCAGAGGCAACACCAGCAGGTGCAGTTTAAGTTGGAAAAGCATGAAAGAAGCACCTATTAAAAGTGCTGCTTATTACAGAACTCTGTGTTAATAGTAACTTGTCCTTAAGAAAGTATATAATTCATAATGTGCAAATTGTTGGTTTTTTTCCCAACTAAGAAAGATCATTAGCATCTAAGTAGTGCCAATACTCATCCACGCTTAATTTAACAGCTCATTTAGCCTTTTTTTCATATTTTTTTTGTCCCCTGGGAAATGTTAATGGCATTTTATGTTGTGTAGCTATAATAACACCATACTACTGTATGGCCTATTCTTCTATAGAGCTGTAATATGGTGCATGACTTGAATTTTTATGTTACATCATATTTTGTCACTGATTTATAAAATTAATCTTGGGGGTGCTGTATTTCATTTCAGATTGATCTTAATTGGCAAGTATGTAATTTTACACTTGATAAATACATGGCTCAGGTGTATTACCATATAATTTTACATATATTAGCTCATTTAATTTAATTTGCAGTTTTTCTAGTTCCCACCATGCCCTAGCCCCTCCGAGGCAGCTGTTTTACTGACTACATGTCACCTCCATTTCAGCCACAGCTAACTGGATTAGTGTGTGAGAGAACATGTCACCCACATACAGCCTCACCATAGCTGGTCAACACACTATGAAGTGGCCTGGCATAAAAAGAGGATGTCCTCTAATTTTATTTAAGATTGAGGAATGAGGATTTCAGAGCAATTTGGTTCTCTCTCTTCTAGGAACTTGAACTGGGAACTACTTCAAGAATGAGTTAATTAGAACAGAAGCTAAATGGATGCCTAGAGACAGGCCACGAGACCAGGGATCAGAAAGCTGTCTCTAAAGAGCCAAATAGCCTTCGTGGACCACATGGTTTCTGTTGTAACTACTCAAGACTGCCTTTGTAGCCAACAGAGGCCCCAGACAATAGTAAATGAATGAGCTTTATCTACAAAAGCAAAACAGATTTGGCCCACGGGCCAAAGTTTGCCAATCCTTGGCGTAGACCATGACAAGGTAGGCCATGATAATTCATGGCAGGCTGAAATGATGGGAAATCAAGAACTGTGTGGTGAAGAGAAAATACTGATGGTAAAGAGAAAGAATTGGTAGTTGACCATAGGAAGCACAAGTAGACAGTGTAACAGGCTTAGGAAGCGTGGCCAACTCAAATCAATGGCAGGTACTGGAGTGAAATCCCGCTTAAGATTCCCAGGAATGCTTTGGTTCCAGTTCTGGTTCCCGTGGGATTGTTCTTCTGGGGATCATGAAAAATTTCTGTCTCCATTTGGCCCTAAATAAAATTCAATGAGGTACGTACCATTAAACCCACTTTACAAACAAGGGAACTTAGGTCCCGAGAGGTTAAGTGTTTGCCCAAGTTCCCCAACTGATAAGTAACAATCAAAATAGATATGTAGGTCTTCTGACTGTTAAATTCAGGATGCTTTCCATCTCAATCAACACTTCAGTGCTACCTGACAAACAAAGCTTTGTGACCTAAAAAACAAAGATTGCTTTTGTAAGATAAACAAATATCTATTCATTTATAAATTTTAAACATCTTTAAGGCATACAATCAGCTTTAAATAGAAATTTGATGCCAAATCTTCTCTGTGATAGATAATCTCCAAAGATGACCACCATCAATTCCCCTTCTCCCTCTTTTCACATGCTGCTCCTCATACCAGGAGGTGAAATCTATTTCTTCTTTCCTTGAATCTGGGCTGGACTATTGGCTTCCTTTAACCAATGGAATATAGAAGTGACATTCTGAGAATCTGCCCATGCCTTCAGAGAACTCACAACTCCTCTTGGACTCCAGCCATTATGCTATTGAGGAAGTCTAGATTAGGCCACCGGAGGGTCACCTGAAGAGAGATCCTGGAGGATGAAAAGTCTTCTTAAATGTACCAGCCCCAACTGAGCCAAGATACGTAAAAGATTCCAAGTGAGATCAGCAGAGCTGCCCAGCTGAGCTCCAGTCACCTCACAGAATCACGAGAAATAATAAATTGTTATTTTAAGCCATGGTGTTTTGGGGTGGTTTGTTCTGCAACAATGGGTATGGTACACCATTCTTATTTTAAAAAACAAAATAGATGTAGACTAAATCTAAGTAAGAAGTGTTTTCCAGAAGATGTACATTTTCCTTAGGGGTTGTTTATTTTGTTTTGTTGAAAGAAGAAGTTTGGGTAACACAAAGTTAAACAGGTTTCTCTATGTAGGACTTTGAAGACCTTTCCCCCAATATCTTAATATGAACAATTTCAAGCATAGAGAAAAGTTGAAAAGTTATAGAGTGAATATGCACGCACCCACCACCTAGAGTTGATAATTAACAATCTGCTATATTTGCTTGATCATATTTCTATCTGTTCACACCTTTCATCATCAAATACTCTTCCTTAAATTTTTGATACATTTCAAAATATTACAGACATCAGTAAACTGGTGTGGGTGAACCTTCTTAGTTTGCTCACTATCGTAGAGAAAAAGCTTTCAATATGTTATCCTTAAATATGTGATCTTTATCAGGTGGAGGGATTTTAATTTGCAGAAGTTTTTTAAAAAGTCATGAATGAAACTGTTACATTGTATCAACTGATTTTTCTTCATCTACTGAAATAATTGTATTTTTCTCCTTAATTCTATTAACATGGTAAATACTTTATTTTTTTTTTTTAAGATTTTTATTGGATAATTGGGGGGATGGGAACAGCACTGGGGAATTGGGGGAAGGGGAACAGACAAGTTGCCGTCGTTTTGTTCTTCAATCTAGTTGTGGAGGACGTCGCTCCACTGGCCCAAGTTGGCACCATCATTGCGCTCTTCCCTGGCGAGGCAGATCAGTCGCCGGCTTCTGGACGGCCGCTCACTGCGGCTGCTGGCCGCTCACGCTGGCTGCTGGCTACACACGGTAGCCCATGGCAACCCACTGCCACAGGGACTGCAGCCCACGCCGTCGCCGGCGACTCATGGCAGCCCAGCTCCAGGTTGAGCTGTTGTTCAGCATCTTAGCTGTAGAGGGCAGTGTCACTGGCCCTCATATGTGGGATCCGAACCGGGGCCCTCTGGCATCCCAAGCGAGTTCCTAACCATCGCGCCACGCGGCCGGCCCCCTAAATACTTTAATTTTTGAATATGGATCCAGCTTTGCACTCCTGGGATACATTCCTCTGGGTCATGATGCATTATTCTTTTTGTATATTGCTCAATTAGATCAGCTAACTTTGTTAAGGATTTTTATTTCTATGCCAAGAGGAAGTATTGGTTTGAAATGCTCCTTTTCTCTAATAGTTGTCAGTTTTGCTATCAGGATAAAATTAGACTCACAAAAAAGTAGTTTGAAAAGTGTTCCCTCCCTCTTTTCTGAAAGAATTTGTGTAATAGTGCTATTATTTCTTCTTTAAATGTTTGATAAAATTTGCCAGTGTAAACGTCTGGACCTGGACATTTCTCTGTGGGAAAGTTTTTGATAATGAATCTAATCTCTGGCTATTCAGATGATCTGTTTCATCTTGTAATGGTTTTGGTAAGCTGTATTTTTCAAGGAATTTGTTTCAACTAGTGGCTTTAGAGAGACCAGGGCCTTCCTAAATTAAACTAAAAATGGAAACTTATCCAGTGCCATTTCTTTCTTCTAAATGATGGCTCTACTCCAATTTCTGTCTGCTTTTCATGGCTTTTCAGTATCTTCAGGAATTTTTTTTTAAATATTTTTTCTAGAATTATTAGCTGCTGTCTGTGGAAGTGTTTATCCAATAGAAGCAATTCTCCCATTACCAGAAGCCAAACTTCACAACAGTTTTAAATGCTAATATGTAATATGAATCTCCAAGATATAAAATATAATGTTTTACTTACTTATTTTGACCAGTTTTTTAGGTGTTTTTCTTTC